CCCTTGGGGCGAGAAGGCTGAATTTAATTAGATTTTTACTTTCACTTTTTTTGGTCTCCAAAATTATAGGCAGCCTTTCTGCTCTTCTACGATCAAAATGGGGACCATTAAAAAATAATGAGCAGACAATTGGCTTCTACACCAAGCAGATTCTTGAAGGATTAAAATACCTCCATGATAATCAAATAGTGCATCGAGACATAAAGGTAAGAATTTGCAGAGAATTAAGCCTGATAGTGTTATGTAACTGCATAACCATTCATCTGTCCTGCAATTAAAAAACTTTTTTTCCCAAAGTTCTTTGTTGTCACATCCCCTCTCTGCTCTTCTGAACCGTAGATTAGGTAAGGGAATTGTTGTTGATTTGAATTTGCACCAACAAAATATGTTAGTTTCTATTTTAGAAGAATTGGCATATGGCCACTTAAGGTGGATGTTTTTATTTTTATTGTCAATGATATGATTGAACTTTCATAAAAGCTTCTTAGAACTGAAGAAGATTGTGGATGGGATATTAGCAGGTTCTTTTCCAAGGATATTGCAGATGAAAAAGTTCCCTTTGAAACAAACAAACAAAAGCCTTTCCCCTCTCTTAATATTCTTTAACTGAATTCCTGTAGTATTCCTGTAGTAGGGGAAGTTCACTTTGAGATGGAGTTTTTGATAATGGGATTACATAAGCAGGAACACTATTGATTCCTCTTTCATCTCCCTCCTTAAGAGCCTTAGGAAGTAGTTTTTACTAAAGAGTGCGTTGTAGAAACAGGCTATGCAAGAAGGCTTAGATGAAGAGTCAGCAGAGAAAAATAATTGCTCTGAACGTTGTGTTCCTCAGGGTGACAATGTGCTTATCAACACGTACAGTGGAGTGTTAAAGATTTCGGACTTTGGAACTTCCAAGAGACTTGCAGGAATCAACCCATGTACTGAAACTTTCACTGGTATGTTCCCAGAGGAGACTCCTCACTTGAACTGTGCATGTAGGGTCAGAATCCACAGCTGCTGAACTTTCCTTGACTTCCAATCAATATAAAAGGTTGCTGCAAGAATAACTTTCTGTATATCTCATCTTAAGCTATGCACTGTTCCAAAAGAATGCTGGTTTGGAAGTTTCACTTCAGACACGAAGGCCCTCTGCAACAGAAGAGCTGCATCTTTCCTGTGTTGTATTTGAGTCCCTTTTCTGCGTGTGTGGCTTTTTTATCTTGCTGATTGAAGCTTAACTTTTCTTTTCTTTCATGACTGGCTTGGACATCCTGCCTTCGTCTCCAGAACTGCTCATCTACAGAGCTTGTCGTTAACTTGGTCCTCGTTCTGCTTGATAATTTGATTTGGATGTTAAATCATGCAGTGGCACTGCATTAAATAATTATGCCAAATGAGAAGTGACTGTTCTTTTAATTCCATCCTCCGCTTTTCCATTTCTGCTCTAAATGGAACAGAATGCAGAACAATGCGTCAGGTTGATTCTCTTACTTCAGAAAAGGTGTTCATGTCACGTGCTGGTTCAGATTTCAGGTTTCACTTCCTTTTCCTTTCTGGATACAATTCAGAGTGATCTTCCTTATTTTAATCTTGATCTCTAATACAGTAAATGAAAATTATATCTGATCCAAAGCTCATAGAAAGCTCTTAATAATTGACATTGACTTCGAAAAGCGATATCATCGGATCAGCAGATAATAAATACTAGATGCTTTTAGCACAAGTAATATTTTGAATAGTATTTTGAGGTTTGTGTAGGATGCATATGGAAATTTTTGAATTTTGAATAATAAAGAGAATAAAGAGTATTTTTTTTAACTCTCCTGATAACGCTCACTCCTCAGTGATTTTTTTTCCTGTTGTCCTTTAGCTATCTATTTGCATCGTTATGTAAGGTAAAAAATGAGTATATTTTTAACAGGTACCCTTCAATATATGGCACCAGAAATCATAGACAAAGGACCACGTGGCTATGGGAAGGCTGCAGACATCTGGTCTTTGGGATGCACAATCATTGAGATGGCTACAGGGAAGCCCCCGTTTTATGAACTGGGAGAACCACAAGCAGCGATGTTTAAGGTCAGACATCTTCCTTGTGCAACTCAGACCAGTGTTTGTCAACACAGGAAATCTTATGACTGTTTTGGAGAAGCTGGAATTAGAGATTGCAGGAAAAGAAGATAAAGGAAATGCCTGCTTAGTGAGGATGTTAAGGAGAACGAGCTGATTCAACTGAGTGGGAGTGCTGTGTAGTTCTGAAAAGAGTAATGGAGTGATGGCAGCTATTCAGCATCCTGGGTGTTTAAAAAAAACACCACCAAAAAAACCCAAACCAATAAAAACCAAACTGATAAAAGAAGCAGTTTTCTGCTTTGCAAGAGCCTCTAATTGCAATTTTGATTTTTTTTTTTCAAATGTAATTGTTTATACAGTTTATAATAGATTTTTTTCCTTTGAATTAATAAACTAGTTACAGAAAGATAATATCAAAACTTAAGAGCAATATACTACTTTTACTATTTAAGCACTTTTTGGGTGCTATTTAGTGTTTGGGAGAAGAACAGTGTAGGCCATTATTTCTCCCTTTATTTGTCTCAGGTGGGAATGTTTAAAATACACCCAGAGATTCCTGAATCCATGTCTGCGGAAGCCAAGGCCTTCATATTGCGTTGCTTTGAACCAGATCCTGATAAACGAGCTTTTGCTCATGAGCTACTTGTAGATGAATTTTTGAAAGTTTCAAGCAAAAAAAGAAAGTCCCCATCAAAGCTCTCAGGTAAGTATTGCTGAACTCAATCTGGAATTTTACTCTTACCAATGATACTGAAACTGCTGATTTAGTCTTTAAGATGAACACTGCAGATCTCCATCCCAGGTGAACGTTCAGTTGTAACCTTCTGTTCTAGCAGCTTGCTGTAGAAACACTGTTGTAGCAGAATTCTGTTCTCATGTCACAGAGATGACTTATATAAACATTTCTAAAAAGGTTTCCAGAGGTCTGTTTATGGTTTTGTGCAGTTTTTGTGTTTTGTTATTTTTTCTTTCTTCTTTTTTTTTTTTTTTTAAATTTGTATAAGTTTTCATTCAAAGAATGTTTGCGTAGAGTACACTTTGTATGAGGTTAGAACATGCTATTCAGCCTCAGGGGAGTTTTCTACATGAACAAAATAATCTTTATCCCATAGCAAATGTGCATGCCCTGCATTATTTTTGTTTCATATACTCATTTCCTGTAGTGTTGTAAATTATGGAAAGTAACAAAGGAGTTTTGAGAGTATGAATGACATATTCTATGTGTGTGCATATACACATATGAAAATATCTTCTGTATATCTTTAGCATGATACCTAAAAGAAATAAAAATACTGAGTGAAGGAGGTGACATTGGATGAGCATTTTTAATGTGGTTTCCACCTCCCTAGACTCAGATTAACTTTAAATCACAATAAATTACGCTGTTGGAGACTGCAGACAGGAGAGTCCAGATAGTCCATAAAAATGGGAAGAGTTGTCCTCTAGACTATGCTTATTTTCTCAGTTAATTTCAGCACATTTAACTTTCTGGGTTTTTTTTGCTTTTCTCCCACAGTTCTTTCAGCTAACACAAATGGTGAGTTTTAACATATTTCTCTATGAAAATATAACTCTGTAGATACTGTGGTTAACACTTATTCTGGTATAATTCATCACGCTAAAATGTTGCAAAGAGAAGTGGGCATCATTATGAAAATAAGTGACTGTTCTCTGTTAGGAACCTCTACTTCATTATGCAAATTTAAACTATGCTTTGTGATCCTACCAGGCTGTGGTTTAATTGTCTACGCAGGTGGGTAACAGGCTCGAAGAGCTGTGGTGGTGTTATAGGGCCATTGAGTGGAAATCTGACCAGGAAACCAAATGGCTGGTTTGTAGTAGCGATAGAGCCAAAGTTTGTGGAGAAAGATAACACAGATTTTTATTAGGCTAAATTCTGTAATTGAAAAAAGTTAAATGAGTTCGAGACCCCTTTCAGCCCTGGGTACAGGATAGTTATCTCTTTCAGAAAATGAGCTGGGGAGAGATGAGGGGGGAAACGAACAAGCACGTACTTACGTTCATGCTGAGTTGCTATCAAAGTACATTTTGAAATGTGTACATGTGAAATAGGTATGAATAGTTTCTTGCAGCAGTAATGTGTGTTCCATATTTAAAAATAAAAGTTCTGACTTAACATGCATGTTTAGTATTAATCAAAGACTGTGAACTAATTAAACTTGTACGAAATAATCTGATAAAGAAACGTATCTCATGTGTTAGAGTATATATACTTATCTGTATATATAAATATATATGTTTATATACACACATAAAGTTAAGATTTTGGAAGGTGCTTGCATGACTTACCCTGTAGAAACATTTTGTTACTGCTGAAAGTGCATACTGATGATACGAGGTGCACGCTCACTCCAGTGGTGAAGTTTTGTGTGTGAACTTGAAAAGAGCCCAGCATTTCCATATCTCAGGAAGCTTTTGAATAAAAACACAACTGAAAGATAACTCTATTCCAGAAGAATAAGCTTTAGAATTTTTTCGTCAATTTTGTTTTTAACATTTTGTCTTGATATGGGGGAGGGCTTGGAGTCTTTCTGTTTCCTCTGAAAGAATAACCTTTTCACTTCAGAACTGTGATGGCACCATTAAATTCTGATTTCTGAATATTCCTATACGAATAGAGTATCTTCGGAGTATATCCTTACCTGTCCCTGTTCTGGTGGAAGATACAAGTAGCAGCAGCGAATATGGTTCTGTCTCACCTGATACAGAATTAAAAATTGATCCATTCTCTTTCAAAACAAGAGCCAAATCCTGTGGAGAAAAAGATGGGAAGGGAATTCGGTCCCTTTTTCTGAGGTAAAGAGCTATCTAGCATTTATGTTGCGCAGTAGATTAGGAATGTGTGCAGTGGAGTGGTTTTTTATAAAGTCTCTTTTTACTGAGTGTCTTTCAGCATCCCAGATGAAAATTTTGAGGATCACAGTGCACCTCCTTCACCTGAAGAGAAAGATTCTGGATTTTTCATGCTGAAGAAAGACAGTGAAAGGAGAGCCACCCTTCACAGGATATTAACTGAAGACCAAGAGAAGGTAGTGAGGAACTTGATGGAAGCTTTGGCTCAGGTAAAGTAATTTCAGAAGGCAGCAAAAATGTTGTAGAATTTGAAAACTTATGTGCAATTACCTGGAACTTTTGAAATTACACATAGTAAAGCAATTGAAAAATAACATTTGATTAAACTAGAAAGCATACACCATGTAAAGATTTAATGGTTTATTGTTTTATTTGGGCTATTAAAAATAGGCTTTAAAATTATTTATGCTGCATTAGATATGCCTTTTGTGTTGTTTGTAAATACTGTATCTATATCTAGATGTTACTGCTGGCCAGACAAGAGAAAAACATGTTTCCATCATACTGTATTTTGCCAGTGATTTTTCAAGTGGGACTAACTAAGGCTGTCAGGTCAACTCATGTAAGACAGATCCTCCCAAGGAGGTGATTACCTTGACCTCCTTTTGTGAGAATTTCGTATTCTGGCTGACTGGTTTGACGGAGGGAGGTTCAGGTCTTCTGGCCTGCTCTGGCCCTATGTTAGTTTATAAGGTAGAAAAAATGGGAATGACTGGTACACCACTGCCTTCTATCCAACAGCCATAAAAAGGGAAAGAAGGGACTAGAGAGAAAATAAATTGCAGCTATTCCTCACAGCAGCTGGGAGCGCATATAGAGGGGAGGGAAGATGGAGTAACTGTGGGAGCTACAGCAAACAACCAAATAATTGCAGAATGACCTTTTGGCACTCCTTTGTGGGGATGATTCACGATGATGTATCAGTTCAGGATTACACTGAATGAATTACAGGTCATGACCACGCTGATAAATGTTGCAACACCGTAACCGGATGACATAATTTTTTGTTCTTGTTTGTAATGTGGGGGTTAGTAGTTAATTGACTCGCTTCAAGGTTAAGTATTGCTCGTCTAAAATATATTTGTATAAAATGTGACAACTCATCTTCTAAAGATAGTACTGCTTAGAAACTGATGCAAACCAACACAATTCTTATGCATGTACGACAGTTAATGTGATTGGAAATTGCTGCCATGCTAATAAAAAGAGCTGCTAACTCTTGGAGGGGGGGGACAGGGACACCCGTACAGTTGTCCTGGTAACTACAGAAAGTGTTAAAATAGAAGGCAATAAGGGAGAGGCCTGTGATCTGTGCTTTGCTAGAGTGTTGCTAGAACAGACACCGTTGTTAGCATGTGTATGAAAGCAATAATCTGTGATTGTGAGAGGCTGAAACTCAATCACAAGATCCAGAGAGGGTGCTTGGTGTTTCATGCCATCCTCAGCTGGGGCTGGAACAGCCTGACACAGGAGCAGAGAGACATGGAGCTGTAGAGCCAAAGAGTTCAAGGCACACGTGCATGGGACTGTCTGCCCTTCAAGAGGATGCTGAACTCTGATTCCTGAACACCATTTTCTCCCTTGAGAGAGGGATCCTGGTCAAAGGGTAGGAAACTTACTGAAACCACCAGGAAGTGGTGGTAACTGCAGTTAAGGGGAAGTTGTTGGCTTCTGGTTCAGTCCTGCTTAAATGCAAGAAGTTACCAATAGATGGAAGCCTCACTTGCTTGTTAGGCCTCATCAAGTTTTAGGCTTTGATAGTGCTTTTCCTTTCACAAAAACTTTTCATAATAACAATTTCAACAAAGTCATTGGGTGTGGGAGCTAGGAGAGGAGAATGACCCTCCCTAAATAGGTCCCTGTTCTGTATTAGGTAGCCACACTGGTTGCCCTGTCCCCAGCATGCCTTGATGGACTTGTATTTTCTAGTCCAGGGCAACAGTATGTTGTGTGTCCACCTATCTGCCCTAATGGCATTTTAATTATTTACATGATAAAGGAGATAAGCTGCTGCAGGACAGAGTGGTGGATCCGCTTCGGTATAGCAAATCACCAGGTGAATTCTCCAAATCAAAGTGCATAGGATCAGAGGCTAGGATCTTTCATCTCGGATGCTTTAGTCAATGGACTGTTTGAGCTTTTTCTCTTTTTGTTGTTGTTGTTTCCCTCTCAATCAATTTGTCTTTGTTTCATCCTGATGGGAATTAATTAACTATAGTTAAAACCTCAATGTTATGGGCAAACAGGGTTCTTGATGTCTGGCCAGCTGTAACACTTATGGCATAAAACTGGCAAATAAAATGGAACTAAACACTGTATGGCCTTCTGTTACGGAAATCCATGTTAGATATCTTTAGTCTATATAAATAATTAATTAACTTCCTTCAGAATAAGCATTGAATACTTCATGTTGAACAACAGGTATGATTTTCTAACTCTGGCTTAATTTTAAGTTTCGGAATTGAAATTTGTATTCAGTTGGCTTAACTTTGGAGAGTAAATACAGTCCTCTGCTTCCTAGTTACTTAGACTCGTTACTCTGATGAATGGTTTTGAGCTTTTTGCTACTTTGGTAGCTCATGCAAAAGCACACTTTTAAAAATAGGCATATGAATATTATAATAGAAAGGTGAGATTGTTGTAGACCTGCTCTAAGGATAAGTGTAGAAGTTCCATATCAAGGGAAATTATGTGGGAAAGAACTAGTCTCTTTCCGAGCCTTCTGCATAACTTTGACTAATCCCTTCTTTTTAATGCTGCTGTGGGACTCTGTGTTGTCTGTCAGAGGCGCTCGGAAATTGGAGTCACTGCAAAGTACATCTTTGTTGCAATTAAGAGTAATGTGTAGTATTCAGTGCACGGTACATTTATCCATATCTTTCCACTCCTGTACAATGAAACATACAGACTATAGTGTACACGTATACTTCAGCAACTGATACAAAATAAAGTCAGCTACTTGAGTAATCCACTTTAGCAGGGAGCTTACGGCAGAGCTCTCTGCTGCTGTAGTTACCGTGCTACCAGCAGCTGCACCTTTCCCTTAGCTGTAGAGGCAGAGCTTCTGAAAATCCGTATTGCCAACTGAAGCTATTGACCAAAGTCCCTCTAGGTGTATGTTTCCAAAGATAGCTATCAAAACTATTCATTTTCCTCTCTTTTCTACCAGGGAGCTGAAGAGCCCAAGCTAAAATGGGAACATATTTTCTCGTGTCCAGCCTCAGAGAGTTTGTACGGTCCACTGATCGCAAAATCATCGCAACCACTCTTTCAAAACTGAAACTGGAGTTAGACTTTGACAGCCATGGTATCAGTCAAGTGCAGCTTGTGCTGTTTGGTTTTCAAGATGCTGTAAGTTGTCATTTTTACTACAAACTTTGTGCTCCAAAACTGCCAAAAAAAGGTGCTAGAAGCCATTAACTTCCATCCAGAGTTACTGAAACAATAATATTTGAGGACTTTGAACCTTTAATAAAAAGAACCCAGCCCACAGCCATGGCTTGGTTGGTTTGCCAAGTGATCCTTTGGCAGGACACAGACCCTGAACACAACTATTGAGATTTTGCTGATTAAAGATCTAGAAGGTTCAGCATAGTTGTGTAAACATTATGTCATAATACTAAAGCAGGAAAGCCTTTTCAAAGGCCTTTTTAAACCCTCATTTTGGAGAGTTTTCTGGTACCAGACCAACACTGAATGTCAGGCATACCCTTCATAAATGCATGTCTCCTGAACTTGACTTCTCTTATAAACTAATACATTACTGTCTACCTTATAATCTTGTATTGAATTCTTATTCTAGTATTTTTTGTTAGCAGCAGATTTCTGTCAAACTAGGCATTTTTAATTCCAATTTATAATAAACAGGATAAGAAGGAAGTAGGCTACTTTTCTATCAATAGTTAATGCAAAATTTATGATTTCCTACAGTGAGCAACCAAACACCCACATGGATACCCTTTAAATAGCTAGTTTACTGAAAGCAAATGTTTTTTTCTTCTTAAGCTATGTATTTAAATGTTATTTCACAAGCAATTAGGCTTAATGCTTAAGATGAATAACCAACACAGGAGGGTGCAGCTGTGTTGGGTGTCACTTGTCCAGACTGAAGTCATGTAGCAAAAATGAAATGACAATCCCAGTAGGCATTTGAGGTGGATGATTTTGTTAGTATTTAAACCTGGGGCACGCTAACAAGTAAAAGAGCTGTCAGGAAGGATTGCATAGCATGTAAAGTGTCTGTTGCATAGACTACACTGACAAGAATTAGATGCTGTTTACAAAAAAAAAACCCAAACTAATGTGTGAAACGAATCTATAAAAGAGAGGTTTCCAGAAATGAAAGTTTTCTTTTTGAATCTTTACTTTGAATACACTTCAGCTTTCTGTTCTGCTTAGCCTCATATTACTACTGTTTTGACACTTGGAAGAAAAAAAAAACAAACATACAAGGTCAAGAGAAAAATAGAGGGGGGAAGAGGACAAGTGTTTGGGTTGATTTTCTGATAGAGATGTTGCTGGGCATCAGTTATTCGGTAGTGATTGCCTGAGTCATGTTCTTTTCAATAAAAATTTTACCCTCTACTGTTAACTTCATTACAAGTTGCTGGGTTTTTAACTGACTAATTTCTCTTTCATTACTATCTCTCTATTACATAACTAAGATAACCCACAGAAAGTTCAAAGAAAAAAATTGCTTTATATGTGCCTAGTCTTAATTTTTTTGCACATATATTAGATTTCTATAGTAGAACACTGAAATTCAGATGGGTATCAAGACCCCAGATTCTGCAGAGACTGGGATATTAGTAAAAGTGAGGGAAAGTAGCTCGCTTGATCTCAGGACTTAACAAGGTAATCTCAGCTAACAAGGTTTAATAATCTATCCTTGTTGGAGCAACCAAGAAAAAGTAGTTTTGTGCTGTAATCTAAATAGCTAAATCACATTACTGTGGATTGTTGTGTTCTTGAGAAAGTTACATTGTGCTTCTTCAGTACGTAAGTAGGCTGCGTGTAGCTAAACACTCCTTAGTGTCTTGGTAGGAGTCAGTATGGGAAGGTGCAAAGCTCTTGCCAACAGGAGTTGTGCTGCCTTGGAGGGCGCTGGGCAAGCCTTTGGGGCCCTTAGGCAGCTGATGCCCAGGTGTCAGACACTCAGCAGTCTCCCCTGGGGCTGCTGAGCTCTCCAAGTCCAAACACGGTGTCCAAGTGCCATCTCGTGGCCGTTGGCAACAGAACGGAGGAGATGTAGGTGCTGTGGTGGGTTGACCCTGGCTGGCAGGTACAGGAAAGCCCCTACCCAGTCACTCGTTCGCTCCTTCCTAGCGGGATGGGTGAGGGAATCAGAAGGGCAAAAGGTGAGAAAACTTGTGGGTCGACTGTTAAAGACCCACATTAAAGACTGTTTAATAACTGAAGAGGAAAACAAACCAACCAGCCAACCCCACAAGTGATGCCAAAGCGATCACTCACCACCAGTAGACTAATGCCCAGCCAGTCTCTGAGCAACGGCTGCTTTGGAAAAACTACTCCCCTCGTTTTATTGCTGAGCATAATATCATATGGAAGAGAATCTCTTTGGTCAGTTCACGTCAGCTGTCCTGGCCATGTCCCCTTCCAGCCTGGAGTCCACCGGTCGCCCACTCACTGATGGGGCAGCGTAGGAGACAGAGAAGGCCTGGAGGCTGTGTAGGCTCTGCTCAGCAATAGCTAAAACATGGGTGTGTTATCAGGGCAGTTTCAGTCACCAGTCTGAAACACAGCACCCCACGGGCTGCTGTGAAGAAAATTAACTCCATCTCAGCCAAACCCACTACAAGTACCTACACAAATTACTGCCTTACTGAATACTGTTGCTTTGGGGCAGTGACAATAATATGATTAATAACATTTATTAACACATCTTCTGAAGGCATCGTTTGTGTAACTTCAGTGATTTTTTATAGAGAGGTTATCACAGTGTGAATTCTCTTTTAGGAAGACCTGAGTGAAGTATGTTCTTGCCACATTTTTCAGTAAGCAGTAGTTGCTACTTTTTTTATAAGGCTTTGAGTAACTTCATAATTTTCTAAATACAATTACGTTTGTATCTTCCTGCAACTTCTTGAGTTCAACTCCTATGGAGTCTGTTCCTTTGGTCTGCTTCCCTGCCTGGAAAACAGCACTGAGTCTGTGTTGTGCTATTGCTGTTTACTGTGGCTAGGCAGTTTTTGATTTTTGGTGGTTTTTTTTTTTTGTAGCACTATCACCCTACCTGCTTGAGAGTTGGAAAACAATTCCCCCGAGGTAGAGACATTCTTGCAAGTGGCATGGAGCATCCATACAGGCACCTGAGAATATAGCTAAAGGCAGTTTGAAAGCAGGCCTGTAGGGAATTAGGAGCAACCCAGTGTAGAAAACGATCTCTTTGCACAAAGTAAAAAGTAGAAAGAAAAAGAAAATGGCATAGCATACAACTGAAGTCCCCTGGCTCTTTAACATTAACTATTTTCTGAATCAAGAAGGAGCAGCATTACATTAATTCTTTGATATTTCCTACAATTGTACTTTAAAATAGATAAGTATTGCTCAGAGTAAGCAGTGAAAATGATGCCAAAAAATAACAAGATTAATTAGCTTAAGTTACAACCCTTTCATAATATGGTCCTTGATATTTGTCTTGCTTGCATTCTTTTTAAGTTTCTCTCCACACCCGTGAAGGTTAAATAAACTTCAGTATCAGAGTCATCAAAAATCACCTAACCTCAAAACTCGTACTTGATAAAAAATGCAAAAGATTACACGACTTGTAATAGAATGGTGGAAGTTGGCAATGTTGCTATTTTCTTCGTTTAATGACAACATGAAGTAGTTTTAATCACCTGCTTTGATACAGCATCTATAAGTTCAAATGCTTTACATAATGCTGACATATGTTATAGTTTTGAGTTGGGGAGATATAATATCTGAACTGAATTCTCTGTTGCTAGGTCAATAAAGTTCTCCGAAATCATAACATCAAGCCACATTGGATGTTTGCGTTGGACAGCATAATCAGAAAAGCTGTGCAGACTGCTATTACTATTCTGGTCCCAGGTGAGTCATTTCTTAATACTCAGAAAATATTTATTAGCTGATCTCTTTAAACATGCTGTAGAGCTGTGATTATGATGCTTCACTTAAGATTTTGAAACCAGCAGTGGCCTTTTTCCTGTTCATTGTCTGTTTTGCAACTTGAAAACTAATCAGTGTGTTGTCAGAGTTATTTTGGAAAGCAGCTTTCCAAGATGTGTCATCTAAACAATTCTGTAACACAGTGAGCTGTAGTAGGCCAAGGTGCTCTGGGGCCTCATTTTTTTGAGGCGCACAATTGCTGCCTCCTAAAATCCAAAGGACAGACCACTCGCTAGTACGTGCTGATTTTGGAAGGTGTTTTACAAAGTGCAGGTTAATGATGTGCTTTTTGGAGTACTCAAAAGTCTCTCTGGCTCCTGGTCAGAAGCTGACTAAAGAAAAAAAAAAAGAAAATCTGCAGTGCCTGCAGTTTGATTATTATATTTTGAATGTTGTGGAAGTAGAATGCATGGTTGAGCTGAGGGAAGAGAGGGAAGGAGTTTGTGTAGAAGAAACCGTAGCCCATTCTGTTACTACTCTACCTATTTCCAGAGGTGGTTTCTCTGCTGATTCTTAAC